AATGGCACTTTCTGTAATTAAACATTAGCAATAAGAGACAAACAAAAGACCATTAAGACTTGGAAAGTAACAGTGGTTATGTGTTACTAAATGTTGCAGTTTGTATCAGAATTAATCATTTGTGACACATTAACACAATTTGAGCAACTCAAGATGAAACTGGATCTCTTTACATGTTATTTTTTCTGACTGCTTACAAGGCGGGCGTATTAAAGTGGCCCAGGTCAGGAAACAGGCTCTGACCATTCCTCCTAATCATACTCAACAGATGATGTCCCAGGAATTATTAAATCTCATTTCCAAACCAGAGACCTTTGACCCTCTAGGGTTTGCACCAAGCTGTGGGGAAGAGAAGGGAGAAATGGGGAGCACACATTTCCCTGCTGTCACCACAGAGCTGTGTTAGAGCTTAGTGTTTGTGTCAGGCATGACAGCTCTGGATGGCTCTTTGAATGAGCTCAGACATCCTTAAGTCCAGTATGTTGGTTGAGAAACACAGCCCCAGCAGCCCTGCAAGAACACTGGGAAGCAGCTCTTTCAGCAGCCTAGAGACTATTCATGTTTAATATATTAGAAATGCAGTTACACAGGGGAAAAAAACAGGGACTTTGGAGCCCATTCCTCCAGATCTCTTTATAAATAGCAGGTGAGCTTGGACCTGGATGAAACTGGCCTTGAGCAGCCTTGTGGATGGGCTTAATTGCACAGTAGGATCCCACTTGTTTGCCCAAATTGTACTGAAGTCTCTATGCCTAGTGTTTCCCATTAGCTCAAGGCATCCAACCACTCTGAGCCAGCTAATAAGAAACACAAGTCACAGGCACTTGGGTGGAAACAGGCCAGATGAATCCAAGCCTTGAAACAAGCCTTCTTCTGGATGATTTCTAGACCTATTGTTTCAGACCTATTTTCAGATCTATCTGTTAAAAACCTATTTTATCTGATTGTCACATTTTACCAGCCCCCCCATCTCTGTGCCGGGGCCCTCAGCCATTAGGTACAGGGCTGGGCATCCTGATTCCAGGCCAAGCATCAAAGTAAGGGGCTCAGGCAGGGGCTGTGCTTCAGGGGAATGAGGTAAGCCAGATCAACCCTCAGGAAAACAACAATATTTTTCCTGCAATGAGCCCTGCTGCAGAGCAGTGGCTGTCATCTGGGGAGCTGGATGAGCTCCCCAGTTCATCCTGAGGTTTGTAGCTTTCTCCTCATTTTCACTTTTCCCAGCTGGTTTATCAAATATGCCCAGAGTTTGCAGAGCTGGAGCCTGGTGACATAGTAGCTTTCACCAGCTGATGGCTTTCCCTCTTCTCCCCTACAAGCAATGCATGAGCCTTGGACAAACAGTAGCAATGCACCATTGCTGTAAGGGAGGAGGTTTGTGCAGGAGCCAGCAACTCACCCACCCACCCTGCATCCAGGGAGAGGTTTAGGAGGCGAAGGCAGCACTTCTGCAGTGACATTAATCTCCTGGCCGTTTCCCAGATGTGAGATTGGTGAGACCATGTAGCTATGACAGCACCAAGGCAGGAGACTTGCAGCAAATTCCTCCTCCCCTCCCACCTTCCTATACCACATCCATACATTCCAGTTTAGCAGAGGAGTAGTGAACAGTGTGACCATCAGATTTGTGCTTTCAAGGGCTGTAAGTAAATTCTACTATTACAGATGTTACTGAAGCACTGTCTTGATTTTCATTATTTGAGATACAGCTCCCATTCTCCTTGGAAATAGCAAACTGGAAATATGAAAAGCCAATATTAAACCATATTTAAATCAACTAATCCAGTTTGGTTACAGCCTAGTATTCATGTCCTCTGATAATTGCTTTTTATTACCTGGGTCTCTGGCTTCTCCATCAAAGATGGTGTTTAGCTTTGTCATTGTCTGTGAAGAAACACAAAATGTGAAATGATACCTATGAATTAGTTAAGTCAGAAGGAGGAGCAGTGACTTGGAAATGGTGACCTACATGGATGGAGGTGGATTTGTGTGACCTGTATATTGCATTCCTTTAGGTTAGGTTTAATCTAAACTGGCAACAAGAACCATTTGTGGTGTAGGATTTCATCAATAAATATTTAATGGAGAATTAATAAGTTCTGACATGCTAAATGCCTCCATGTGTGTAGCCACAAAAGGGTCTCCTCCACCCAGAGTAGTTTGGGAATCCCCTCTGAAAAATCTGGGGAGAGCGAGTTCACTGATCAAAGCGCCTTGCACAGATTCACAGAATCTCCTGAGTTGGAAGGGACACACAAGTGTCATCGAAGTCCAGCTCCTGGACCTGCAGAGAACCACTCCAGGAACTATACCACAGGCCTGAGAGGATTATGTCTATTTTTGCAATTATGCAGCCTTTATGCAATCATATCTATGAAAAGGAAGGAGCCCTGAGATCCAGGAGCTAAGAAACATCTCAACAAAATGACATTTTTCTGCAAAGAGCTTATCATGGCCAAACTCCATACAGCTGGCATACCTTACTGGTTGCACTCTGGTGGGTCAGAGTTGGCTCCACAGGTCAGTGGTGTCTCAGCAATGCACTGCTGCCATCAGTGAAGCTGGGGCACTTTTCATCCCACCTCTGCAATTCTGCAGAGTGTCCCTGTCATTGTGGGCACAGCCTGTCTGACCTCCCAAGTACAGCATTTTGGCACTTGGAAGCAAAGGGGCCCCAGTGCAAGTGACCACCCCTCACACCTCATGCTGCTTCCAAACACAGAGACCAAATGGGACAATGAAGTGTTTTGCACTTGAGGACAATAATTTTTTCCTTTCCTATCATTTTCATATTCTCTTTGCAAAACAGACACCATTCATGAAAAGGGTCCAATGATGGTATCACATGATGGGGCTGGCAAAACTGGTGTTTCTTCTGAGGCCAGCAGTACTTACTACAACCACTTCTTTCTTAGGCTTCTTCTTTTCTACAGGAAAGAAAATGCACACTGTTAATAATCAGAATTCTCTGATAGTGACTGTAGATTCTAAAGTTAATACTTTCTCAAAGAAATAGACATTCTTTCTACTCAAAAGCTGAGACATCTTAAATGAGTGTTATTTCTTTTCAAAAGCTGAGTGAGAATCCACAGTTGCCAGTAACCAATCAAAAGACTAGTCTTGAAAACTCAGTAATGAATAGCAGTGGTTATCAAACAAGCTTCCCTTTCTAAATAATATGAGCAAATACAAGAATTCACCTTTGAGAATAACTGAACCAGAAATGAAGATTATTGTTTTACATGAATATTTGTGGTTGCAAAGCATGTGTCAAATATCAGCTTGGAGACAAAACATGTAAGAGTTGCATTTTCAGTCAAGTAAAATTCAGACTGAAGAACAGTTTGGTTGTGTGCAAATTTACCACACTATTAACTCATCCCACATGCAAACAAATACAGCAACAGTGCCATGGGCATCTCGACAGCATGGATTTGTGGGTGATACCTAACTAGTTGCTATGAGGGCTCTTCTTGCTCACTCCTTGCCAATTTGTTTAATGGCCTTTCTTTGGAGAACTGTGCCTGGCCACAAATGTGCTTTGCAGCCAGGTGTGCAAAACTCTGAAGTGCTGCAGGTGGATCTCAACCTGAGCAGTGATGGGAAACCTGTTGTGTCTGGACTTTGCTGCCCAGCATTTGGGAACCAGTTTTTCAGAAAGCAAAAAGCTTTCCCTTTTTGGAAACCAGCCAACACTGAAATGTCTCAAACTGGGCAACCAAGAGAACAGCTAATTTCGTGGGGTTTGTTAGTCCTGTGTTTTTTTCCAGTTGGAGACACTGACTGAGGAAAGTAGAATTACAAAAGCAGGGTCCAACTGAGCCCATATGAGCAATGCTTTCTAGCAGAAATGCAGTGGGACTAAAAAGTCTGCTTAAAAAATCATGCTTTTCTATGTGTGATTTATCTCCCTGTGAAGTTATACAAACCCCTTTAAAAGCACCAATACTTCAAAATAAATCTTTATTTATGTGAAGTAATGGTGTCAAGAGAGCAAATGAAGTGGTCAGAGAACAGTGATCTCTCTTGAAGGTGCTACAGATGGCTGGGATTGTTTTTAGAAAGATAGCATATAAATTGTGTGTGAAAAATGCCGTTGTTCTTGGCATCCATGTCAGAATACCAGACTACTCTGAATTTGTGTTTTGCCTAATAGTTAATAGATTTGAAGACTAAAAAGGCCATGAAATCACTTTGTCAGACCTTCCATAACTGGCTAAGATTATCTAATCTCAGTACCCTTCTACTGTGTCAAATTTAATCTAGAAATTAATTTACATATTTTACATGGAATCATAAACAAGGTCTTGCTTTGAAGCATTAAAATATAGAAAAGAGGTACACACCTGGAGCATTTATCCTGTAATGAAAAGAAGATTAAGTGCGTAGTTAACAAATGTCATGGTTTTCCCTACATAAAAAAAATCATTGTTTTTATTCTCTTTCACTTGGCAAGAAGGATGTGTTCTGAGATTTGCTTGATTTATTTGGTTTCTGATTTTGCTTTCACAGAAAGCCTGCATCATTTAATGCTGCTATCAAACAAGAAAACCCTAAGACTTCTTCAAGAAGGAATATTCTTAAAATAATAAAGTCTTATTGATGATAGCATAATGGATTTATATAATCTGGAAAAATACATTTCCAGATATTGTCATTTTGTCCCATCCTTGGAGGAAGGTCAATTTTTTTTGATCTGATGTGCTCAGAGAATACCTATTAAAATATTTGAATGGTTATAAATGTTTTTGAAGATATAGAAATTGTTTTTTAATGGGAGACCCCAGCTGCCAGTAAATCATTTGCCCAATTAATAAATAATAGCAGTATCTTAGATTCATTTGTCATTTTTATCACAAGCTGTTAATGCCTTGCTCACACGATTTGAACTATAGTCACGGTGACACAGTAGTTCTTTACATTTAATGGAACTTCTAAATTGATGTCCAAATCCTGAGAATACTTGTAGAAATCCCTTTCTTTTTTTTTTTCAATCCCAGCCACTTAAAGGACTGCTTATCTTTGTTTTGTGAAGTACAAAGTGAATTTAGAGGCAGCCTGGCTCCAGCCCACTGAAAAGGCAGCCAGCAGGGATCTCTGCACTTCCCACAATGACTCGGAGCTGGTCCCAGGTGCTTCCATGCCTTTTGCCAAGCACGAACACTTAGAGGTAAGCTTTATGGGCCAGAGCCTTGTAACTGGCTTGGTAAAACTCCAGGAAATCTGGAGAAGTTTTGCCAGAACAATGAATTTGGCATGAGCGCCAATATTTGCAAAGGACACCGGGATCTGTAGCTGAGAGGGAGGAAAATGCATCCAGTAACTACCTAGATGGGAGCTCCCTTGGAGCGGGGGTCAAATACAGACCAAAATATTTGTGATCAGCACAGTCTGGCACAGGCTCTGACTGAGCCTCATGAGCATAGCTGCCTTTCAAGGTTATAATTGCTAATTCCACTCCTACCTTCTGCTAATGTTAATATTACTAAACCCATGGGGAAAAAATGCCGTGGACGCATTTCCTTGCGTTCATACCATTAACACCCAATACCGCCGTACCTGCTATTAGCATTTCCTACAGTACAGGGCGTACCGCTATGAAAGGTTTAAAGCAGCGATACGAGGGCGGCAGAAAGGCCCGAGCCGCCTCTGTCACTGCGCTGCTGGCCCTGTCCCGGTGCCGGGGACTCACCGCGGGGTGCGGCGGCCCGTGCGCGCCGGGGGACAGCGGCTGCGGAGCCCCAGGGAGCCCAGCAGCCCGAGCAGCAGCAAAGCGCCCAGGGTGGTGACGAATGGCACGTACCACGCCGACCGAGAGTACAGGTTCTCCCTTTTCGTCACAACAGTGAAGCCAGGCTTTTAAAAGAAGACAGGAAGAGTTCCTCAAGGCTGCGTACTGACAGCAACATCACCTTTCATCTGGCTGAACTTCTGCACCGAGGCACCCGGCCCGAGCTTGCCCCGGGGCTCTGCAGATGATGGAGGGAGGAGGAGGGAGACAGTGATTCATCCCATGTGCCTGCCTGCTGACTGCCAAGGCAGCTCAGACGCCTGGGATGGACCAGCGAGCTCCTGGGGCAACCAAAGGCTGGTGAAATGGAGCCCACCCACAAGGAAAAGGGGAGGTTCCAGATCACGTTTCAATATCTTATATTAAAACAAGCATGTCGCGGTGGAGTTTAAAACCCTCAGGTTGTCTGAGAGGCTGTAAGCACGCTGTAGGAGGGCGGGCAAGTTCAGGGAATACTGCCATTACTGAGATAATGTTTTCTTGTTACAGAAGGCAAAACTGGAAGTGGGTCATCTTCACTGCAGTGATCATTCAGCCTGCTTTGTAAGAGGAGTTGAACTCTAAGGAACTGGGTTATTGTATAAAAAGAAGTGGAACTCCTTTTTTACCCAGTGACTTGTTCCAGAAGGAAAAACCACACTTCCTGAGCAGTTGCAATCTCCCACATCTTCCTGAGTGTCAGGAGACACATCTCTGAGCTGGCACGTCACTTGGTGCTAGCAGCTCATTCATTAAGGTCCCATCATGAAACTATCCTCACACATTTCAGAAATTACTCATTTACTCTACGTGGTTCATTACCTACTGTGATACTATTAGTTTTGATCATCTACTGAAGTTTTTATTTAATTTTCTGTAAGGCATTTGTAATCACACTGAGTATGAAGTTGAGCAGGGTATCTATTTCTTTCCAGTTTAAGGATAATTTTAAAGTAACTTACTTAGTCTTGTCAAAAAAAGATACATCCAATCCTTAGAGAAAGGCTCAAATAATCTCAAAATCACCACCACCACCACTTTATCTTCACCTGGACTGAAGTCACAAGTTACTTTTTGTGATGGGGCTTCTTTTCTACACTACCAGCTTTCCAGTTTCTGACTCATCAAGTTGCTGCACTGAACACTTGTAAAGAAAAGTGATGGGAGAACCTTCTGTAATGGAAGTGTTCTTCTGGAAAACAGCCTGAAAGTGGAAGGCTGATATCTCTGGGGAGACACATTTAATGTTGTGGTATGCGGTTGAGACTGCTAGTATTTGTGGTAAAGCACAGGAAAGAAATACAGAATAAGTTTATTCAGCTTAACTTTTCATTTACACATCAAGATTTGCTCCCAAAAGATCATTAGATAAGAACAGGGTTATTAATCAGTCTGAAAATTTGGATCTAAGCATTTCACAGCAAAGCAACCAGACTTGTATATGCTGTTTGCAGGATCCTTTGGTTCTGGCTCAGTTAGCAGGAGCCTCTAGAAGATCTAGACCATTTTAGGGCTAAGGCCTCTTTCACCACTTCTCTTGGATACTCATTTTCATTCCTGAATGCCAGAGAGCAAAGGGTAATGCCTACTGCAGGGAATGGATGGAGTGTGGATGATGGAAGATGGTGCAGTAAGGCATGGAGGGGTGACAGGTACAAGGATAGGGACAGAGTGATCTGTACCCTCAGGCTGTGTCACATCTACAGGCAAGACAAAAGCAAGTTCTCTGCACATCCTGCACTAGCCTGATGGAAAACAGCTTTAAAATTAAACTGGTAAGACAGAACTTGACTGGGATGGTTGTGCAGAGAAGTGAACAGTACTGCCTGGACACAGGCCCACAGCTTCACAGGCTGTGCAATGTTAGATCTCACCTAGGCTGCCAAAAGTTGTGCAGGCTTCCTCAGCTCAGCTATGGACCATCACATGGGCATCGAGCTCAGGAAAGACCCATCCCAGCCCTCTGGATTTGCTGTCTGAAACCTGGTGAAACTTCAGCAACACACTGAGGCTGTGCAAAACTGCTTCAGTTCCTGACATGCTGCTCTGAGTTTCACATGACAGTGACCTCAGGTCTGGAAAAGAGACCCTTTTAAGAAATGAGGACTTGTTGTTGTCTGTTTCATCTTTGATAGCCACAGATTAATGTGCTCCAATGATAAAGAAGCACACAAAACTGCGAGGCAGCTGGGAGGGTGAATAGTTATGAATAAAAAAAGAGGTAGTGCAAAATGCATGAGGTAATTTTAAGGTTCCAGGCAAAGGTTAATCCCTGCTCTTTCCTTATTAATAAAGCTGCCAAAATCTTTAACTTTCCAGTTGCATGGTAATGGCAGCATGCCCAGTCCTTTGGCTTCATGCCCTTTTTGTTTTAGAAATACAAAACACATGTTATGACTCTGTACCTGGGACTAATCCTTCATGATACTGAGCACATCAACCACCTCTGGCTTCATCATAAGAGTGCAGGGCTCAGAACCTCCCAGGACTAGACACACTCTAGGTTTTTGCTTTCTTTTTGCATACATATTTACTACTGTGGAGATTACTCCATAAAAGAAACACAGAACTGGACATAAGTTTTAGTGAACTTACTGTAGTGGTTGTGGCAGTAGTGGGGTTTGGGATAACTCTGATGCTTAAAGTCACCGTTCCAGTTTTAATTAAGTGTGTAGTTTTGTCCCTGGCAGATACTAAATTGTCATCTGTTATGTGGATGTTCAGACTGTAAATCCAGTTTGTATCAAGTCCACTCTCATAGTCAAACCTTGATGCAAGAATCAGACGGGATGTGTTGGAGCCAGCACTTGGTGAAAAGATGAAATGTCTATTTTCATTGCCTGCAAAAAGGTAGCACCAAAATGCAAAAAAAATTACTTTAATCCCATATTAAAGTAAATGTGTATAACAAGTGGTGAGGTGTGGTGAAATATCAATGACAAGAAGGGCTCCTTGATCTTCCTTGTACCATAGAAAATAATTTAAAACAATACAGTCATAAAAGTATTGCAATCTAGAATAAGAACTTAAATGGGGACATAGCAGAGTGGATGCTGTGGGAACACTTCAGAGCCATAGGGCACACAAGAGCATAAGTGACCTGAATGACCTGGACTTAGAACCTGGGGAGCACCCAACAACACTCAGCTGGGGTAAGGACCCTGCATTGTGGTCATTCTGCTACTGAGGCATCCCTGGAGTGTTGCTCCAGCCCCTCTCATGGCTTCTCCATCTCCCTGAGGCAGTCTCTCTTCAAAGAGAGCTACACTTGTGACATTCATTGCCTCCAGTGCTCTGTCAACATCATGGGGCAGGGAGGAGAGTTCAGAAATGTTGGCTCCCCACCCCTTGCTTTCTGTCCATTGTAGCTGGATATGGATGCTAATTCTAAAGCAGGCAGCATATTGCCTGTGAAATTGCAGGCCACATAGCTTTCTCAGTCTTGCCTGAGAAAGTGGCCTGGGAAATCGTGGGGAGGAATTAAAACGATCCTCAGAGATAGAAAGCAGCCTTGCAGGTGCTGTTTGTCTGTTCCTTGTTTTCTTGCAAGAGAAGGTTGAGGGGTGGTGAACCCCACTGAGCAATGATGATGATGTGTTAGTTTACTAACCAATAAGAGTTTTCTTTTCTGTACTTTTCACTGTATCGGTCTATAAAAAAGATCTGAGGCAATAAACCAGAGAGAAATTCTCCTGATCGACTCCCAAGAGAGTCTGTGGCGTTCTTTTTGCTGTTCCCAATAGAGCGACAGCTGGAGAGCTGCTCATGGCCCCAGCTGCAGGAAGACCAGCCCCAGCAGCTAGGATCTGGACAGACCACATATACAGGAAATCAGAGCCTTGAAAAGGCACCAAATATGCTTTGGTTTTGCTCTTGTGGCCCCACAGAGATGAAGAGTTGACATGTCCTTGAAGGCCATGCCTGTTTTATAGCACAAAAAGGGCCATGAGCTGCTCTGTGGCCAAGAGGCCAATACACAACACAGCCCAGGTCTGTAGCACCAGGACTGGGCCTGTGGTCAGAGATTTACTAACACAGCTGTTATACAGATTCACGTGTTAATACCATGTCTGCAGAGCTCCTTCTGTGGCATCAAGGGACTACAGCAGGACAGAGATTCTCTCTTTTGATGTTCACAGCTTTTTGCTAGCACTTGAACAATCTGCTCCCTCCTTCACAGCAGTCACCTCAGCAAGAAAAGAAGGAATTTGCCCAAGAGAGTGTGCTTCAATTTTTGTAAAGCTGAGTGTCATCCCATACTACTGCAGTTCTCCAAGTGGATGCAGCTGATCATGAGGGTCAAGGAAGGATTTTTAAAATGAGGGTTCATTGCATACAGGATGGACCTACAACATGCAGGTTCCAGCATTTGTTTTGAACAGTGCACCAGCATCAATGTG